GAAGTTACCATAGCTTTCAGCACTCACACGTATAACGTGTTGAGCCGGTTAGCCGATATCGGCAATGACCGCGAGGCTGAAAGCTTTAGAATTACCATTTTGACTTGTTTTTATTGGATAACTGCTGTTTTACGCCGCAGTTCGCGTTGCGAAAGTTATCACAAGAATGCTGAGTTGTGGGCAAAACTGTTGTGGTGTAACTGGTAGCACAATTGCCCGGAAAGCAAGAGAGGTACGAATCCCGGCTGGGGCGAAAGTTTTGCCCACAACTCAGCATTCTTGTGATAACTTTCGCAACGCGAACTGCGGCGTAAAACAGCAGTTATTCAATAAAAATCACAAAAGTGTGTTGTAGTAACAGAACTCGTCCAACAAAACGTCTTTTTCAGTAATCGACGGCGACTCTAGTGTTCCTTTTAATAGAGGGGAACGAGCCGCTGTTGAGTTATTTCGACAATGTACTGACATGGACAAGTTGAAGACGATCGGCTTGAATACCTGGCTTCGATTTGTTGATGTAAGAGAGCTTTCATTCGTTATGAGTGCATCTTTTCATTTCAAATGCCTCGAAGGCTTGGATTGTATTGTATGCGTGCTCTCCTCTTACCCCCCCCCCCCCCAAAGAAAAAAATAACTCGGAGAGGCCGATCAGTTGGTTCTAGCTTAAGTTTTTCACTCCAGTTTTCCAAAGAATTACTCCTTGCGGCAGTTTAAAGGCACATCTCATTTCAAGATTTCAAAACTGATTATTTATTTACTTGACCGCTCTTCTCTCATGATTTGCAGCATGCATAGAAGTGAGAAGACAACACTTTGCCTTGATCAGCGCCCATGTCCCAAATGATAATACGGTGTGAGTCAGATGATGTGCATATCAGCGTATTCATCCCTAGGAGAAGTCAGTCAGCAGTCAATTGATCCCCTTCGGAAGAAAAATCTACGGAGGTGCCTCACAAAGCTATTTTTCCAAGTTCATGGTCGAACAGATCGCTTCACGCTTGAATCAAGCGCCTTACTGGTTAGAGTTATTGAAACACTTGCACATTTAGTTGACTGATTGGTCCTTTACTTGACATCGGTAAC